CGTCCTTGGTGCCGCAGTTCCTCTCCTGGTTGTGCTCAGATGCACACGGGCTGGGGGTCAAAACTTCCTCTGGTGGAGCCTAACTGCATCTCACTGCCAGCCCAGCCTCTGCCAGGGACTCTGGGGGGCTGGCTGTCTCCTGCTTTCCTTTTAGTATTTTCCAGTAGCTTGACTGAGTTGCTTCGATCCAGTGTCCCTCACTTCATTCTGAAACTTATTTTACCCTGTGGCAGGGCTGAGAACTAAGGCCTGTGGAGTGCCTCTGTGTGCCAGCCCAGTCCAGGGTGCTGTCCTTCTAGTTGTTGACCCCACAACAACCCTGCAAGGTGAAGGCTGAGTCCATGTTACAGAGGGGGAAACTCAGACTCAGGGAGCACAAGTAACTTCTCCTAGGTCACCCAGAGGGTCAGAGGCGTTGCTGGGATTGAGTTAAATCTGTGTTAACGCAAAATTCTGGCTTTGAAGTTCAATCTTTAGCTCACTCCTACTGTCAGGCTGTCCTCATGAGACAGGCCACGGGAGGGCGGGGGCCAGACAGTGCAGGGCGCGGCAGGAATCAGCAAAGAGTACCCTCCTGGGGAACTTTCCCCATTGAAAATCTGTTCCCCTCGCGGCCACGGGTGATGTATGGCTGGAGCTGATGAGAAACGTGCGGCGGAATCGAGGCTGGCGGCGCAGGCGGCGCGGGCTGCGGGGGCTGCGCGGGAGGCCAGGCGGGGGCAGCGCCGCATTGAGATTCTGCAGGGCGGGGGCGGCGCAGGCCCTGACACGGGCCAGGTAATTGATCTGGAGGTGCCAATTTGCAGCAACTAAATATTTGGCTTCTGCCTCTGCCCGCTCCGCACTCTGCTCAAACAAACTTCAATTAAAAGCCAAACGCGAGGGGGGCGGGTGGGGACGGCGCACCCGGGTCCCCGCAGCCAGATCAATGGCGTGGAGCTAGCGAGCTGCGGAGCATCGCGGACGGAGGCGGGAAGTGGGGGGGCGCGGTGCAGACTCTCTCTTCCGGATCACCAAGCACCGGGAGAGGTAGCACAGTAGGGGGGACCCATGGAGGCAGCTTCAGGCTGGAGCGGTGGCTGAACCTGAGCTGGGCAGAGTGGAGGGCACCCACTATATGCCCTGTGGGGGACACAAATAGGGCAAGCCCAACACCCTTACTCTGGACAGCCAAGCATGTGTACTCCGGCTGGGAGCCGGGGGAAGATGGAGCCCTCTCCCAAAGCACCCACCACAAGAACTTTGACGATGGCCTTGCCGGTCAACAGCACCCACTGAGCGGCTTTCCTGAGCGCCGCAGGGTGCCTGGGGCACTGGGCGCTGAGGTCCATCTCCTCTCCCTCATCTGCCCATCTGTTGGGTCGGTGAATCCAACCCAGGCCCCACCCCTAGAGGGCGCTTAAGGAAAGGGTTTGGGATGGCGGGGGCGGGGCGTGGAGGGGAGCAGTAAGATCCTGGGAACTGGGGAGAAGTCCTGGGGACATGGCTACAGCCTAGAGCAGAGGAAGGGATCATTGGGTCACAGTTGCCTCTTTTTGCGGTTCAAAACAAAGAGAGCAACAGTAGTCATTCACTGGGTGGAGTTAGTCCATAGAGAAGTTTCTGTCCCTTGAGGATCTTGTAGTACTTTGTGGAAGAGACCCCAGGGCTGGGAAGGGGAGCTAATCATTGATGCTGGGAAGCTGGGGCATCTCGGGGTCTGCTGATGGGCAGCCTGGGGGGTAGTTAAGACAGTTATAGGAGAGATGTGATGAGGGATGGAGTGGGGGTAGGGGTGGCAAAGAGGCATCCAGGTCCACTGGTATGGGTAGATGCAGGCAGATAGAAAGTGGAGGGGAGGTAGGGTCCTTTCATCTAAGTGAAAGTTTCCTGAGGGCCAGAGGAAGAAAGTAAGGCTGAGGGGCTGGGAAGGTAAATGAGGAGGCTATTGTCCCCTCCCACATTTCTATGCCCTACCTTCTGGGGTAGAAGGATGGCTTCTAGATTTACCCTTTCACCCATTGAGTCTGTTGCTGGTCCACTGAGCTGCAGGCTGAAGCCCCTTTCCTCCTCTCTTCCCCTTTAAACCCTCTCTCCCTGCCCCCACAAGGAACCCCTTGGTCCAAGGCTGGATGTGGGAACACAGGTCCTGGCCATGTAGATCAAGGCTTCTAGATATTCGGATGGCTCTGCGGGGCTCTGCTGGACCAAGGAGGCCTGGGTGCCATCCCCATTCCCAAACACAGAGCTCTGGGGAAAATTAGTCTCACCATCCTCGTTTGTCCCTCTTCTACTCCAAGCAGTTGTTTGTTCCCCCAGAACTTTCCTCATCAGCCCTCTTTGTGGCTTCGGGCACCACTCCATCATCACAGGGGAGCTGGGTCCAGAAGCCTCCCCATCCACTGCTGCTCTCCTACCCAGGCCCTCCAAGGAGCTGCCGCATTCCCTGCCCCAAGCCCCTTCCCAGCCTGTGAGCTGGACACCTGCTCCCTCACATTCCCTCCCTCCCTCCTGCCCTCTCCGTGGGCGCTGAGCTGTGGAGCAGAATGATTTCCTGTAATTGGCCAGCAATCCGGCTGCCTGACTTGTTCTATCGACATGCTGGTTAGCTGGAAATTGCATTGGAATCTGAACGATGGGGAGGAGAGGGGAGGGGAGGGATGGGAAGGGGATGAGAGGGTGAGGAGCAAAAAGAGATTCTTTGGGCCCCAGCTGGGTACAGCCTCAGCTCTGTGGGTGGAAGAGAGGAGCCAACAGCCACTTCTCCTTTTTCTGGAAAGGAGCCGAAAACAAGCCACAGGACCTCACCATCTCCTTCATTCTGCTCATCTTTCATCATCTCCGGGGGGGCTGCCTGCCTATCCCCTATGTACCCCCATGGCCTCAGGTCATTACGGCCACCCCATTCCCTCTCCTGCTCCGAGGACTGGTTCCTCCTGACCTAAACTGTCTTAGCAAGAACTAGGGGTGCTCAGCAGACATGGCTATCCCTTTCATCCAACTTCTAGCCATGGAGTGTCCCAGACCTTTCCCTGTCCCTCCCTCCACCCTTCCTAAGGAAAGAGAGCATCAGAACATTGGAAGAAGAGTTCAGTTAACTCCTAAAGAGCCAAGGTGTAATTAACCGGGGCAGTGCAGACAGTGGGAGAAGCAGTGTACTGGGGTTCCAGAAGCTTGGCCACTATGCCTGCTCGTTTTTTGTGCCGGGTGGGTCAACCTCTGAACCTCTGTGAAATTCTAGCCCCGCCTCCTTCCTTCCTTGGCAATTGGGAGATTTCAAGGAGATAACCGCAAGAACTGTTCTGTAAACTGTAAAGCTCTGCGAATTATCCTAGGGCTAGCTGGGCTGGAGATGAGGTCTGCCTGTCCCCTTCAACTCCTGCCATGAGAAAGGTGCCTCTACTACCCTTGCTGGTGTCTCCATTGCTCCACGCCAGGGTGGTAAGGTCCCAAGACTAGGGAATGAAGCGCAGGGCCCCACTGCAAGCCTGGAGGGTAGGAGTCCGGGGTTCCGTGCCTTCCACCCTAGCGAGGGGTGGGGTGGGGACACAACCCATCCCAGAGGCGCCAGGGCTGCGCGGGGCCGCAGCTCCTGCAAAGAGGGCTTGGGTGAGCAACGTGACTTTTTCATTAGCGCCCAGGGCCAGGCAGCGCGCCTCTGCCTCTGCCGCCCCTGGGCCCGCTCTCCTTCCACAGCTGTCCAGTCGGGGATCAGAGGCCTAGAGCGGCCGGGAGGGAGGCGGGAACGCCACCGGGAGAGTTAGTAACCGTTCAGCAAACGCCCGCCACGGAGGCCCTATCCCAGCCCGGGCGGGTGCTGCCATCTGCTGGCCAGAGGGGAGGCCGATCGCTCGCATGCGAAGCTGGGGGTCCCAGTGGCCTCCCACTGTTCTCAAGGCTTCAGAGCACCCTTCGGAAAAGTAGGTCTTTCTCTAAGGCCACCTTGGGTCACCAAGGTTGGGAAATGGAGGCGGTGAGGACCGAGGCTTGAGGAAGGGGAGTGGAAGCTGGAGCTGGAGCAGGAGCAGGACCAGGGTGTGGGGACGACAGGATCCCGTTTACCCCACACTTCCAGGCTGGCCATCCTCTGACATTCTTGCAACAAACTCAGCAGACTGAGTCAGGGAAGAAAATGATTCTTTAGAACTTTATAGTTTGCACTGTCATCATTTATTAGGTCCTTTGATGTAAGAATCATGACACCTACCGGATAGAAGAAACTGGAGCCAAAGGCCAAATAAGTAGGAAACAAGGCCAGGTAGAAATCCCAGGTCTGCTCCTCCCCAAGGTAGCTCAGGGATACAGTGCACAGAGTTCTGAAGCCTGGCTCCACATTTCTGGGCCTGGAGTCAGAATCAATGTTATAGGGAGTCACGTCCCTAGCTAGCAGTGTCCAGCACTCATGGGCATTCGTGAAGTCATTTTTCTCAATGATTGGGCACTGTAAGTGGTCCATACCTTTCCTCTTTTTGCTCTTCCTGCCAGATCCCACCAAACCCAGGAAGCAGCTGCCTTCTGCCTTTTCTCATCCTGCCCTGGCCCCTACCCCAAAGCTCACTACCTCCTGGCCTAGCCTTTGCCCCTGTGGGTTTGCAGTGAGTTAATGAGCTGGTCTCCAGGGAATGGAACGGCTCTGGGAAAGGGGGCACTAAATATGGCCACACCGGCATTCACATTTGTCACACTCATTTCTGGCCTTAATAGGCTGCTGGCCGCAGGATCAGCGCATCAGCAGGTCTGCCAGCCCTGGCAAGGGAAAGATGATGTCCACACTGGTCTAATTGGGTTGGGGAAGGATGATGGAGTAAGTAGGTGCGATGCTGCCTCCGCGCCTCCACCCACCTCTCACAAGGGTATACCTGGACCTAGCTGGCATCCTCCTAGGGCCCCAGAAGTCAGAAGGCCCTTCTGGGGCCCAGACTTCAGTGTGGGAGGAGGCCAAGTGTAACCCAAACGGTCTAAGCCAAGTCTAGGAACCTCCATCGGTCCATGTGCTAGGGGAACAATGGCAGCACAGGGAATTTCAGGTCAACACACTTTATTAAGCACCAACACAAGGCAGGCTGTGCACCAGCCGACATGGAGATGAATAAGACAGTCCCTGCCATCAAAGGACTTAGAGTCTAAGTAGGGGAAACCAACCAGCTTCGGGCTGATTACTGTGGATGCAGGTAAAGCATGGGGCTGGTGGCATCCCAGAGCACCTAACTCAGCCTGGGGCTTCAGACAGTGCCTAGGCTGGGAGACAGTCAGTTATAGAGGGGGGAAAAAAAGTATACTAGGTCAGAGAACAGCACAGTGAAGGCACAGAGGCGAGAAACAGGCTGGTGCACGTGCACTACCAAGAGTTCAGGGCTGGGGGCACATGGAATGGAAGGCAGAGTGGTGGGACGCGGTGAGCAGGGCGAGGGGAGTACTGGAGAAATGCCAATGTGGGACGGTGAGTCATCCCAGAGGAGGCCCGGCCTCTGCCGGCTACTGCATTACCCACGGGTCCAAAGTCATTTGCCATGGTCCATGAAGGAGGTTTTGGCCATGATGGGGCATGTGCTCAGAGAGAGTCCAAGCCCAGGGAACCTCCCAGCTTTAAACACTGGTGAGGGCCACAGAACAGTGTTCCTCACCTCCACCCCCGGGATATGTGTAACAGTCTCCTCCTGCTGCTTACAGAACCCATCACGGACATGGTTCTACAGGTAGTTCCAGAGGAAGGGGCCCTGAGGATGGTGGGAGGGAGTATCTACTGACAGAGGACTATTTCTCTGCCTCAGGATGCACCCCAAATAAGGGTCAGCCCAGTGCAGGGCTCTAGCCCAGATTGAGAGAGGGAGGGAGGGACAGAAAGAGAGGGAGGGACACGAGGGGGTTGGGAGGAAACAGAATGTGTTCATTACCTAGCTTCAGCCTCTGAGGAGATAGAGGCCTGGGGCTTCCTGCCTTGAGTGCCCACTAGGGGGAAGGCAGGAGGTAGCGGGTGAGCAGGTAGAGGAGGCTGGCAATGCCAGCCAGACCTGTGAGGACCCCGAGCCTCAGCGGCAGGTACTCCAGGGAGCGCTCCAACTCAGAGTGCAGGAGGATGACTTGACGTTTGGTGATGCTCCACTCCCCCGAGTTGTCTAGAACATGGCGGGCCATGCGAGCCTTGTCCTTCAAGGGCAGCTGGGCATTAATCCGGGCCTCTGCATCCTCGCGGTTCAGGTTGTTCCGCCGCATCAGCCGTGTCAGCTGTGTGTCTCGGTCACTAAGGACAGGGCAAAGGGTTGCTCAGGCATTGTAGGCCCCTGCCTCCCCTCCCATCAGCAAGTTATAGGGTGGGCAGCCCTTTCCTTTGAATATATTTAGGGTCCCACAGCCAGGGAGGTGGCCTGGAAGCTCAGTGGCTCCGCTCACCTCACCCCACTCTGTGAAGACCCTGGTGGCAAGATGGGCTACCTACGCCCCTTGATATAAACAAGGGGGAAAGGCTGCATGAACTTCTTCCTGCCATCCAGGGTCTCTCTGCTTTGCCACTATGCTGAGAGGGGAAGATACGATCACCTGGAATCAGCTACATCCTGGATCCCTGGATGGATGACCTTTATTGAAAGTCCTGTGCCTTCAAGCTAAATGCTTCCTGCACTTCCCCTGGGGGCCTGAGTCTGCTGCATCAAAAATAGCTTCCTGGGCCACCTCAAAGACCCCTCTTTGCCACCCCACCCCCACACATTTAGAGCAAAAGCACCATGCTGAGCACAATGTTTGATGCCATCATATGAGCAAGGACTTGAGAATCAGATCCCCTCAGTCCTTAGGGCAGGCCTAGGCACTGCAGATTACACCAAACAACCCCTCTTCTCCCAACTCCAAAGAGAATTTAAAGGATACCTCTTTGACCCACTCTGATATTACCACCTGGGTCCTTCTTCGGGAAACCCCGTCCTGCAGCTATTCACGAACTGCCCAGCTGTCCTCTGGAGTGAGGTCACCTCTAATACCCCCCTAGCTCCATGACTGCCTAAGCCCCTCAATGGGAACAAGGGAAAAGGGCTGTGGCAGCTGCTTTGTCACTTGGGGCCTCTCCGCTTTGCCACCAGGCCTGAAGTTTCCCAGTTATAAGATGGGATGATTCAATCACTACCGTTTGATCCTCTCTTAGGTGTGGCCTAGACCGGAGGGCCTTCTGGGATGTGAAGACAGATCTTCCAAGGACCGACATAACCTGAACACTAGCCAGTTCAGTTCCAATGCCATTCAGAAAAGAATGCTGCAGAAAATAATTTATGGCTGGGTGATCAAGGGAGACCTTATAGAAGGGATAGCATTTTCAATGGCCTTGAAAAGTAAATAGGACTTCTGATTTCCTTTGTTATGGGGACAACATACTGTACTGTTAAAGTCATGGAGCCAATCGCTACCTGGCTGAGAACAAGAACTATATTCAATCTTAGGGATCTCGCAAGTCTGGGGCTAGGAAAATTGGGGTGAGGGAATGGAGATGGCTAGGGCCACCTGAGTGCACATCCTTCCGAAGGTGTGGTCTATGCCAGAGGACCTTCTGGAATGTGAAGGCAGAACTCTCTGCCAGTCCATCCTAGGGCTCAGAAATAGTCCCATGTAGTTAAAGATAGATGCTATTTGTGGCAATGGGGTTTTTACCAAAAACTTATTCCACAACGGGCACATCCCTCAAAAATATGAATTACCATGTTCTGGTATAGGCGTGCTTTGGTACCTGCCCCATATCATTTCAAATGCATGAGGAGTAGTGTGACAGGTAAAGGAATCCATGAGGAAATCCTTATTTTTGTCAAGTGTAGATCCCTTTTATGAAAAGTAAATCATCACTCATTCACACCTCTAGCATCCGAGCCATGCACACACACCCCTCATCCCCCTAGGCGCCGATAGTGGTGCATGAACAGCATCTGGGACTCTGGGAAAGGGTCCTCTGGCTGGTGAGTGGGGCTGGAGGATCTCCTGAAGAACTGGCAGAACATACAAAGCCCCACTTATCTGCCAAGGGCCATAGCTATCTCTGCTCTTAGCGAACAGACCAACCTCAAAGGAAAGTGTGGGAAGAGAAAGGTGGCAAGGGAAGGTGTGGAGTTATCCGGTACCTGTAGATGTAACCCGGTCCTCTTCTGTTTTCTCATCTACACTCAAGATAACCCCCTGCTTTTTTGTTTTTTTTTGATCCCTCAGTACAAAGTTCCAATTGTATTAAGACTCCAAGGCAAAGAGAATTCCAAGTCTTCCTGGAGTCTGCTTGGCCTCAGTCGATCGTCTTTTGCAAACAGGTAACAAAGAACCTAGAGAGGTTGCAGGTTTATACAGGGAGACATGGGCCCACGCTGGACCTGTGAGGATGCCTGAGTCCCTACACCAGGCTCAGAGGACTCAGACTGAGTTTTAAATGCAAGCCCACAGTGGGGAGCTGGTGGGGAGGGCAAGGAGATGCTTAGGGCACTGAGTGCTCCCGGCACCGCCTCCAGTGTGCCAGGAACCTCCCACGCATTAGTCTCTTGAGAGCCGCCCTGTGCCCAAAATACCCACAGAGCCAAGTGCCCACCTGAGTCTGTTGTGCTTGTGGGCGGCTTCCAGGAAGTGTCTGGGGGGCAGACGCGCCTCTATTCTCTCGCCCCACTAGGACTGACTCATTTTCTCTGACAGTTTGATCCTCCTCTGTTTGCCAAACCTAGATTCTGCTATGCTTCACATCCTGAGGGAGTCTGAGAACAAAGAGCTCCTTCCTTAGCTGGGCTCTGACAGTTCCCTCCCTGCAACTTTTTGTCCTTACGTGTTGCCAATGGGAGACACTGGACAAATTCTGTGAATCACCCCCCGCCCCCCACATTGAGTTTCTTCTTCTATAACTCATTAGTACCAACTAATGCCCTAACTACATCATGTTAAAAGATAAATTAAGTCAAGTAATAAGTATGGGAGCTGTTTGGAAAGTTGAGAAGTGCTGGAGGAGGGAAAAGAGAGCCAGTGAATAACAACATGGTAGCCTAGAGCAGGGCCTGGCATCTGGGCTGAAGTGCTTCCAACAGCCAGCAGAGGGAGCCCTTCTCAAGCACTAGAGAAGCCTGGGGGCCCATCCCCTCTTACACCTACTTGGGGGCATATCTGGGTTAAGCACAGAGCTTGGTTTCTATAGGCTCTGGGCACTGCTACCCCAATCCCCTGTGCCTCCTAGCCACCCTGTGGGTAAAGGGTACAGTGATGTGGGCCATTCCTCAGGTACATGCCTGACTCGATGGGTCCTCCTTTCCAGCCTCGGCCAGGCCAGGCCAGGCCAGGCCAGGCCACACACTCACCAGTATACCACCACTGTGTGCTTCATGTACTTGAGCAGTTTCTTGGTCTCAAACAGCAGGGGGATATCCAGAATCACATAGCGGTATCCTGGGGAAAAGCCGGGAAAGCCACAAGGTCAACTTTACAAGCACACACCAAGGGTTAACTATGTGTTAGGTCGGGGGACAGAGTTGAAGACACTGGCTCCTACCACTGAGAACTCCTCAGCAGAGGGGAAGACCTTCCAAGGACGGGCATAACCTGAACACTAGCCAGTTCCAATGCCATTCGGAACAGGATGCTGCAAAGTCATTTTTGAATGAATGAGCAGATAAGACTTTGTAGAAGGGATGGCATTTGGACTGGCTTTGCAAAGCAGGGAGGACTTCTGATACTTGAAAATGAGTGGGTGGAAGTGAATGTGGAACAGCAAAGCACAAGGAGCACTGAAGTCCTCCTGCTCTGGTTTAAGTGGAGGCCTTGAGCAGTATGAGGTGAAAGTGATGAGATGGTCAGGGCAAGCACAAAGCCTTCAGTTCACCTTGACCTTGAATCCAAAAGAGTTATTTCTGAGCAAGGAAACGAAACAGCCAGGATTGTAGAAGACTGGGAAGAGTTTCCAGGGTAACTGGGCTCTTACTGCCCTACTTCACCCACCTTTGCTTTAAAACAAATAAACAAACTCTTGCCCAAGAGCCAGGTCCAAGCCCAGCTCCCTGCCGAAGTGGAGTCTTGCATAGCTGGCTATCTTCGCCAACTCTCCATGAGACTTATATGGGGGTAGCAGCAGCAGCCCCAATAGGAAAGAGGCTGCTCCTCAGGATCAGAAGCAGACCTCTAGCCTGAAACTGCAGAGACAGGTCTGGAGAAGCTGGGGTGTTTATGACTAATACTAAATAACTTACTCCAGCAGGGAGAAAGGCATTGGCTGGCCCTTCCACTACAAGCCAAGGCCAGTCAAAGGTGGCACCCTCACCCACTATGAACTAGCACATCCCCGGGCTGCCTGTCCAGAAAACACTGTAGGTACCACACTCCAAGTTCTCTTTATGCCAGTGAACCCTGTAGAGGTACAATGAAGCTAGCAGGGGTCCAAGAGCAGTGAGAAGGGATGGGCACTGCTTCTGCCCAGAGACCTCTGTCTGGCTTATATGGCGTCCCGCAGCAAACGCTTCCAACCACAGAACCAGACACACATCATACCAATTCCAAGGGTGTCATGGGGAAATTGGTGTTCCAGGTGATGCAGGGAACAAGCGGCTGAGTTTCCTATTCCCCAAGATCTGCTGGTCAGGAAGCCCTCAGTTGAACGAGGGGTTAAGAAATTGGGTTCTGATGACGTGTCTGGGTTTGTAGTCCCCCACTTGCCTACCATGTGACTTTGGGCCCCTTAATAAATCTCATCTGTGTGAATGAGTGAAAAGACTACCTACTTCACAGGGAGATGGGGAGGATTAAATGAGCGAAGTCATGCAGGCGCCCCCTCACCCAGACCCTCACCAAGTGCTCCATAAATGACGCTTATTATTATTAGTGCTCCCTGAGGAGGGAGGCGGGCAGTGGTGGCTCCTTCGCTCCCCTCCCAACTCGGAACAGGAGCCAAGACCAGATCCTCTCTGGGCCCCTTATCGCCTTTTTCCTGCTCCGCTCCCATCCTTTCTTCTCCGCTCACTGTCCTTTCTCCTCAGCCTCTCTCGGGAGCTTGTGGCCAGCTCTTTGGTTCACCAGCAAAGGGCTATTCAGCTGTCACATCCCTCCTGCTTGATAAGCTCTGCAAACTATCCTGACTCTATTAAGACATCCGTCTGCCTACACAGAGACCTCCCCAACAGCTGGTGATCTTATCTGACGTTTGATTATACCAACTCTGACAGTTGTATTTGTTACAGTCATCAGGGAAAAACTGGGACTGTGGAAGCCACAGCTGTTGTTCTCATTTTTCACCTTATCGAGCTGAAAAGAGCTTTCTGGCTTTTATTTAAGTAGTGGTGGTTGGGGAGAGAGGAGGCTGGGTGGATGACACCGTAGCACTTTGGAGTGACATTATCCAACGCTTAATTTCAGAAGAGGAAAGCCAGTGTTGCCTCAAAGCCCCGCAGATGTACTTGCAACTGGCCTGGGAGCAAATGCAAAAGGGCAGAAATGAAAGGCAGAAGGCTTTGTTCCTGGATGGGGGAGCAGGAGGGGGTCCTGGCAGAGACACAAGAGTCAGGATAAAAGCAGAAAAAGTCCAGAGGTACTCCTTGAGGGAGGAGGAAGAGAGGGAGGCCTGTGGCAAGGTCCTGAGATCCAAAGCAAAAGCTGGTCCAGCGAGGATATGTGGAGCCAGCTCCCCACCCTGGCCAGAGCTGGGGGGAAGGGAAGGAGGGGTTAACATCATGGATGTCTGTCAAGTCATCCCTTCCCTTCTGAAGGAAGATACTGGCCAGACTGGGATGGGAGTATGGAGAGGTTCCCCCTTTGTACGTGAGAACTTGACACCTCAGAGAATATGGAGTTTGGTCATGATCACAGTGCCAAAGCCAGAAGAACACATAGAATGCTCCCCCATACCCTCCAGGAAGCAAAGTCTCAGCATCGCGACTGACAGTGGGGAGACAAGCAGCCAGGCCTTCAGCTCTGAGGCCCAGGCTGGAGGCCACATATGCTAAAGGCTGCAGGGGCCCTGGGCCAGCCTCTTGTCTGATCCCAAGCCACTGTTCTCTGCTCTCCCACTTCTCCTGGTGACTGACCCCCATTGTGGACAGTAAGTATTAGGTCACTCCTGCCTAACACTGTCCTGAAGAACAGGGCTTGAACTGTGGCCTATGGCTTGGGAAAGGTTGCTGTCAGCTGCAGCAGAAGGTTCTGGCCAACTGACCAGAGACCCCAGCCTTCCAAACACTCTCCCTTCTTTCAGTCCTGGCACAGCACCTGGCTGTCCCTGCACATGCCAGGCTAACTCTCTCCACTGAGCCCTAGCCCCGAAGGATTATCCTCCACTTAGAACCTTTCTGTCACCTGCCCTGGCCATCCTTGACCCTCCACAACTTCCTGTCTGCAAACTTACTTTCCCAGGCAGCTTGACCAGCACCAAATTTGACTCTGATTATGTCATTTCTATTTGCGCGGTGGTGGACAGTTACTGACGTGGACTCTTAGTCCCCCGACAGCTCTGCAAGGTTGGCATTATCATCCTCACTATGCAGATGAGGAAAGAGGCGGAGGGGTTGGCTCCCTTGACAAAGTCATACAGCTAGAAACTGGAGGGCCAGGACTTAAACTTAGGTCTTATGACCCCATTATTCATCAGCTATTATTACTCCCATCCCTACTAGAGAAATCAACTTACTTCCTGGGGATCATGGCTCAAAAGCCTCAAGTATCTCTTCTCATTAAACTGTCAATCTCCTTAAGAGTTGAGGGACATGTGCTTCTTTCCTCTGGGGCTGGTACAGGGCTCTGCATGGGGGAGGGGTTGCCAATAAACAGTGTGAACTCAACAGCCTGGATATCCAGCTCCCCACCACCCTGGCCAACCTTTCTGCAGTGAAGGCCCCTGGCCCTATGAGAAGAGGGCTTTGCCCACCCCTGTCCCAGGCCCTGGGCCTCACCCCGGAGGAAGTACTTGAAAGTCTCCTTCATCATTTCCTTGCGGATCTCAGGGTGGGTGATGGTGTTGAGCAGATGCCGCCGATCAGGCTGATTAAAGATCAGGTCTCCCAGAACCTTGCGATTGATGTCACCATTCTCCAGCAAGACCTCAGTGCCAAAGGCCTCCACAATGCGCCGGTGGGCAGGGTATCCTGGCTGGACGACTGTGGCATAAAGAAGAGGCTGGGTTACTCTCCAGGGCCTCCAGACCAGCCAGAGGACCCCGAGTGATTAGAGGCAAAATGATGGGGGAACCCACAGCTGCCTCTTTCAGCTGAAGCACAAAGGATACGAGGGGAAGGCAGGCAGTTAAGGAAGAGAGCAGAGTGCGCCAAATCCTTCGTGTTGGTCATGGGGTGAGGTGAGGGAAAGGGGGAAACTTCAAATGAGAGGAAGGAGTAAAGAGGGGAGGAGAGGACAAGCATGGGGCACAGAGCAGGACAGCGGACAGGGCTGACAGGAAAGCCTTCCCCTCCTCTGAGGCCTTGAAAGGCCATATCAAAAGGTGGGGGCGGCGTGACGGAAGAAAGGAAGCCCAGGGGAGCTGCCCCGTACAATCCCACACCCCGCGCCCCCAACGCACCGTGCCGGGCAATGACGTCGACGTCGATCACCGCGCACCCCAGCTGCTGGAACACCTGGATCACTGAGCTCTTGCCCGAGGCGATCCCTCCTGTCAGGCCCACCAGGAACATCTTCACAGGAAAAGGGTGGTCAGTATGACTAGACCCAGAAGTCGAATGAACTCCAGAGCAGGGCGAGCTCAGCGGACTGCAATGG